GGAGGCATTGGAACCCGTCCAAGAACATTCTAGAGCACGAGGGCGACGCGCTGCGCGACGCAGTTCGGCACGCCACCCGCAACGTTTCGCTTCGTCACCATCGCCTTTTGTTTCTCGTGGATAACTTACCTTTGGCTCTGGCGGCTGGCAAGGGTCGAGGCCGCAAGCCTACCCTTCGGCGACCCTTGCGGAGGCTCGCCGCGCTCGCGCTGGCCACCGACCTTCGGTGCTATGTGCGGTGGATACTTAGTGAGCTGAACGTCGCGGACGGGCCATCCCGCCATGGTTTCTTGCACGGCAGAAGCTTCGAGGAGGCGCGCCTCCTGTCTGCAGATCGCCCCCGCCCTGAAGCAGACTACTGCTCCGATAGTGGCGGCGCGGGCGGTGGTTCACCCTCTGGCCGAGGAGTTGTTCGAGGGGGCCCTCAGTTTCCTCGAGAACTCAGCGGTGTCCGACCCGACTCGGGCTCGGCACCGCTGCCGCGCTCTGCGATTCCTGGAATGGCTGGGTTGGCACGACCTGAACTTCACCACCGCCTGCCAGCTGGACAGCATCATCGCGCGTTTCCTGACGGACTTGGCGCTGGACGGTTTCGACGCAGCGACGGGGGGGATGGCGGTCAAGGCGCTGCGTCACTTCCTGCCGCACATCCTCGGTGGGAAGCGGCCACTCCCGCGGTCGGCGCGGGCCCTCGATGGGCTGCGGCGCCCGGTGCCCCCGCAGATGCGCCTGCCTCTTCCTCCCTCGGCTGCAATGCAGTCGCAGGCTGGCTCATCTGGAGGAACCTGCCCAGCATGGCGGTATTCGTGGCGCTGGTCTTCCACGCGTACCTCGGGCCATCGGAGGCCTACAGGCTGCGCGTGGGCTCGCTGGTGCCGCTGATCCCAGGGTCGGGCTTCAACGCGTGGGGCATCATCGTGGACGACGCGAAGTCGGGCCGCCCTGGCAAGAAGGGAGCGATGGACGAGTCGGCGCTGGTCGACGCCCCCGAGCTCTGGCCCGCGCTGCGCGCGCTGACGCTCAACGCGCCCGCAGGCGCCAGCCTCTGGAACTTCAGGCCCGCCGACGCGCGCGCGAACTTCCGCCAGGCCCTGCGCGAGCTGGGGCTGCAGAAGGAGTCCCCGTCCTTGTGCGCCCTCCGTCATGGGGGGGCCTCGCGCGATTTGCTCCCGGGTGCTCGTACGATAGCGGAAGTCACGGAGGGGGGGGGGATGGATATCAGACAAATCTTTGAGGAGGCACGGCAAGAGGACTCGCATGCAGCAGCGGATCAGGGACCCCCCGCTTCAAATCGCCGAGTTCGGCGAGCAGGTGTTCGCGAGGCTCTCGGAGCTGATCGAGATCAAGTTCGTGAGGGGCAGCTTCCCGTTGCCAGTGCCGCTCCAGCCGGCGCCCGCGCCGCCTCGGGTCGCGAAGCGGGCGCCCGTGCTGTCCAGAAAGTAGCGTCGCGCGTTCCGACGTGCCTTTGCGTGGGCGCCCGTCGCCGTCGGCTCGTTTTACCAGTGGTTGGACCCCACGGGGCCCCCATTTGCAAAGCATTGCGCCGCCGCGGTTTGGGGTGTCCCTCGCTTGGCGCAGGTCGAAACGTGGGCCTTGTGCTGTACGAGCAGGGCGTCGTCGATCGACTCCTTGGGTGGATTCGATCGTCGGCGGTCTGTGCTTGCTGGCTCTCGTTGCCGCTGGGCCCCCGCCTGTCCGCACACTGTCAGACCCTTGGGGTCGGGGCACGCCTGCTAGCCTGCGGCAGCGCCCGACGTTTGTAGCTGACAATGTCGAGATGCGCGCAGCCCTTAGAGTCATTCGTGCCTGCATCGACTTGTCCATGCCTGTCTGTCTCGAACACCCGCGGTCCAGCTTCATTTTTGCGTTGCCTGAGTTTCGGACTCTGGTTCGTCTCCCATCGTTTCTTCAAGTGGATCTGGACCTCTGCCAGTTCGGAGCGGCAACCCGATCGGCCACACGAGTGCTCTGCTGGCACTGTCCTCAGCTCCAGCGCCTCAACGCCCGTTGCCCGCTGCGCGTCAAAGTGTGATCGGGAACGGAGCGACCTCATTAACATTTTGACGGCCGCACGGCCAGGGGCGTGGCTTGCCGCTACAAAGCTGCGCGCCCCCCCGTCCGAGCTGCAGAGCTGGTGGCCGACTGCCTCGTGGAGGCCATGTGTGATCTGTCTCGGTCCAGGATGTGTAGTCTCTGCGGCATGCGGCCATGATGTAGCGTCGCACAGTGTACGTCTGTGCTGCCTGCAGTGTCTGTCGCCACTCGTGGACTGGATGCATCGCTTCTTGCCATCGCCACCGTCAGCTTTTCTGAAAAAAAGGAACGCTATGGCCACGGCGACCCTCCTCGGCACGATAACAACTTTAGTGTGGAGTGTGCTGGGGCAGGGGTTTAGTGGCCGCACTTCTGCCAATGTTTATGCTCGAGCCCCCAAGCCCACCCGCCTTCTCTCGATGGTTTAATTTTGTTTTTTCGACGTCTGTGCTGCCTGTAGTGTCCGTCGCCACTCGTGGACTGGATGCGTCGCTTCTTGCCATCGCCACCGCCAGCTTTTCTAACAAGGAACGCTATGGCCACGGCGACCCCCCATCGGCACCATCATCATCATCATCAGCATCATCATCCTTCTCCTCCCTCTCCTCCTCCTCCTCCTCCTCCTCCTCCTCCTCCTCCTCCTCCTCCTCTTCCTCCTCCCCCTCCTTATCCTCCTCCCCCTCCTCCTCCCCCTCCTCCTCCTCCAGGTGGCTCCGCAGCGAGGCCCCGCGCAGCCGTCTTGCCCGCGGCGGGCGGGCGCGGCTGGGCCCGCGCGATCGGGCCCCCCAGCGCCGAGGGCGCGAGGAGGCGAGGAGGCGCCAGGACGTGGCGAGAGCGCTCGTCAGCCTGGCACAGAGGGCGCGCAGGGCGCGCGCAGAGGCGCGGCTGGCGCTCCGCGCGACGCGCTACCAAGCTGCTCTTCGATGTCACCGCGGCGGCGAGCCGCCCGACATGGGCCATTCTCAGGACTACGTCGCGTGCAAATCCTGCGGCGAGTGGCGGCGGAGAAGCAAGCTGGAGGGGATGCACTACAAGTGCGGCGGGTGCGCGTGCAAGGCGATGCTCCCACGGCCTAAGGTGCCGAAGCAGCCGCCGCCGACGGCGCCCGCAGCCGCAGGCGCAGGCAGGGGCGCGGGAGGCACGCCAGGTGGCCGAAGAAGGCGGCGGCAAGGGCCAAGGCCCCGAGCAGTTGGCACAGGCGGTGACGTTCATCACGGCTTCCCTTTCCAGCATGCAGCTAGAAGGCGCGGGGCAGATCAGCCAGCATATCCAAGGCGCGGCGACGGCGCTGCAGGCCGCCACCCCGGTGGGGCAGCCGAAGCCGCGCGCGGAAAGGACGGCGACGACGGCGAAGGCTCTGCAGACGGCACAGCGGCAGTACCAGGCGGCGTCGGCGGCGAAGCAGAAGACAGACAAGGTCGCGCGGCGCGCGCGCGAGGCGCTCGAGGAGCGCGCGACAGCGGTCCTGCAGGCGGAGGCCGAGTGCGAGGCCATCCACCTGGAGGGCAAGACCAGCCCGTCGGCGGGCATCTTGGAGCAGCCGGTCACGGGAAAACCTCGACCAGCTGGCCGAGGGCCAGCTGACGGCGGGCGTCGGCAAGGAGTTCGACCTCGCCGACGAGGGCCTGGACGAGGAGGGCCGCCGCCAGGCCGAGGAGGCCAAGCGGCAGGTGGTCCAGCAGACGCAGGAGAACGCGCGCCAGTTCCAGGACCACCTGCGCGACCACCTCGCGAAGGCCAAGGCGGCGGCGCTGGAGCAGAGACGCACCGTCGCCCAGGAGGCGAAGAAGAGGAAGCTGACGGCGGCGAGCGAGGCCCCGCCGACAGGGGGCGCGGCGACACCAGCCGCCGCGCTAGCTCCCGCCAACAGCGCAGGCGCGCCAGAGGGGACGGCAGCTCGCGACTCCGGGCGGACCCCCGCCCAGGACGAGGCAGCCGCCTACCTGGACAGCAGGCGCTCGGCGGCGGCGGCGGCGTTAGCGCAGGGCGAAGGCGGCCAGGGCCCGCCAGCGCCTGCGCGCTAGGAGCAGGCGCGTGGGCGGCGGCGGCGGGGACTTGGCGACGCCACCGTCCAGGCGCGGACATTACCCTGCGCCAACATCAACACGTGGGGGCCCGCGGCCAGGCTGCGGTGGATCAGAGCGAGGCTTTGACGCGATAGCGCTGCAGGAGATGCACGTGCCACATGCCGAGATAGACGACGTGGAACACGACCTTGTCAAGATGAGGCACGAGGCTACGTGCGCCGCGGCGAGGGGCAGCACGCGCGCGAAAGGGCCCCCGGGGCGGCGCGGCAATCGTCTCCAAGGGCCACCGCCGCGTGACTAGCTTTAGGCACCCAGCCCAGGCTCGGCAGGTCTCGAATGCCACGGCGGACGTTCGACGGGACGCTGGCTGAGAACGCGGCTAGGACATGTGCGACTGGACACCGACGCAGTGGCACCTGAAGGGCGCCACGCTCACCGTCGCCAGCTCGCACTTGGACTGCAACAAGTCACTGGTTGAGGGCGTGAGCGGCCGCAAGCTCACCGCGCTCGCGGCGTTCCTCCGAACGCTGCAGGGCGCTTGGAATGTCTGCGGCGATTTCAACACCGACCCGACGACCTTCTGGAACTCGGGCTGGGGGCGGCGGCCGTCATCTCACTGCCAGAGGGCCACAGCGCACGTTCCCGCATGGATCTGGAGCCGTCGCACATCGACTACGCCCTGGTCAGCGAGGCGGGGGGGGGGGGCAGGCTGGTCTCAGGCGTAGAGGGCGTTTACGACGTACCGTGGAAACCCCGCGCCGGCTTGAAGTTCACCGTCCGCGGGCAGGGGGGGCCCGCGCAGCGCAGGACGCCAGGCCCCCCCAAGGCCTTCGCGCACCCGCCGAGGTGCGGCAAGGGCCCCTGCCCCACGAGCAAGAGGGCGAGGAGGGGGCTGCAGGCGCGCGCTGAAGCCGAGGCCCGAGCACCGCCGCGCGCCAGGAGGCGCGCCCGAGGACATGCCAGACATGAGCAGGCAGCGAGAGGCACAGCTGGACGACGCGAGGTGGGAGGCCCTTTCCCCCGGCGCGGCCTGGACGCACCGCCCGAACTCCGACGGCGCCGACGGGGGCCCAGGGCAGGCCAGGCAACCTCAGCACCAGATGGACCTCGAGGAGGTAGACGTCTTCGCCGACCTGCACGTCATGGGCGACGGCGGCGAGGCAGCGCCCTGGTCTCTGCCCCCGCTCGAGCGCTACGAGGCCGACTCGCAGGGGCGCCAGAACGCTAAATCAAAGTCGGTGTTCCTCGAGCCGACCTCTGGTTCAGCCTCGCCACCGCGCGGCTCGGGCACTGGCCTGGACGACGCGCGGCGTCAGAACGCAAATCCAGCGTCGGTGCTCCTCGAGCCGACAGCTGGTTCACCGTCGCCATAGCTCGAACGTGCAACTGGCCAGGACAGCGCGGGGCGTCATGTCGCGAATCCCGCGGCGGTGCTCCTCGAGCTGCCCGCGGGTTCTGCGTCGCCACTGCTGGACGCAACAGGCCAGGACAGCGGCGCAACCCGAACCTGTGACGCGACGGAGCTGGGCGACCTGTGGCGCATGGCGGAGATGGCAGCGCGCGCGCCCCGGCACCTGGAGATCCCTGGCTACAGATCCCAGTGCGCCGCGTTCGAAGCCACCGCAGAGAAGGCCGCGGCGCTGGGCACCCTCTTCGCATCAGTCATGGGCCCCTGGAACAGTTCTACTGCATGGCGCATCGCATCGCCCCGCGGGACCGCGCCAAGTTCTGTGGCAGAGGAGGCCCCAGGCAGTTCATCATGCGCAAGGGCAAGGAGAAACACGAGAGGCCAGAGCGCTATTCCGACCACAAGGCAGATAGGTGGAGCAGGGCTGAGAACACGCTGCCCCTACTCGCCAAGCTTCGACCGCACAGCGAGGCGCAGGGCCGGCAGCGCCACCTGGAGGCAGCTGGGAGACACCTCGCCCACGACGGCACGCCACAGACAAGCGAGAGCGCATCACCGACTGCCAGGTTACATCGCGAGCTCTGGAGGACGAGGCTGATGGGCCTGGCTCAGATCACACCAGCGCGATCGAGGGCATGGCCATGCAGGCTGAGGAGAAGAAGGACTTCAGGGGGGACTTCAGGAGAACTCAGGATGGACCTCAGGGAGGGACCTCAGGGAGAACTCCAGGTCGTTCGGGCGTTCGGGCAGTGGCTGGCTTCAGCGGAGAAGAGCGTCGGCACGCTCCACCGCATCACCAAACCGCCGCCCAGGAGGGAGGAGGAGCTGGTCACCGACGGCGGCGCCATCGACTGCCCGACCGCCATCGTGGACGAGAAGGCCACGGAGTTACAGCAGATCTGTTTTCCAGAATCTGCCGCACGTTCAGCACTCAGCCATCATCCAGACCCTGAGGACCACGGCCAAAGGAGAGGAGGCAAGAGAGTGGACGTGAGAGGACCTTGACAGCGCGCTCCGAAGGGGAACCTCACGAGGGCAAGGGCATCGACATGCTCACCTGCTCGGACATCAGGAGGCCCCCCCCGAGGGCCGCACGAGGATAGTGGAGTTCTTCAACGAATGCGAGCGCCAGCTCGCATGGCCTTGGCAGCTGCTGCGTGGGCTCGGGACGCTCACCCGCCACGCGCAGACAGAGGGAGCCAGGCGGGCGGCGGCCAAACGGCGGCCGCGCGAGGAGAGCCCGTGGACCGAAGGAGCGGCCCGCCGCGCGCCGCCGCCCCGCTGCTGCGGAGCCTAAGGAGGACGAGGGGCACCCAGGGCGCTGACAGGAGCGCCAGCCGCCGCGCGCGGCGGCCCGACCGCCACGGAGTTGGCCGCCTGTAACGGCTGAAACGGTTCCTCCTCCTCCTCCTCCTCCTCTTCTTCCTCATCTTCCTCATCCTCGTCATTCTCTCCCTCCTCCTCATCATTTAGACCACGTTCCTACAACTGCTGCTCCTCCTCGTCCTCCTCTTCACTATCGCACATGTGTGCTAATCACACGTCAGACGACACTTATCTTGAGCAAGGAGGAGAAGAGGATAATGTGCAGGAGGAGGAGGAGGAGGCAATTGCGGGCGAGACAGACGACATTGGTGAACACGACGAAGATGAGGATGAGGATGCATTGGTGCAGGAGGAAGCGGAGGGCGAGGGTGCGGAGGAGGAGAACGAGGAGGATTGAAGGGAGGGAGAGTGGATGGGAGGGGGAATCATGTGATCCAGGGGGCGCTGGAGCAGGAGAGCACGCTTGATGCTGGCAGATGGTGAGGTGGGCGTCGCGAGGGAGGGCGCCAGGCGCACCAGGCGCGCGGACCAATGTCACAATCCGCCCTGCTCGGGCTACTGCGACCGCTTCCCCTCGTCGTCCTCCTCCTCCTTCTCCCCCGTCTCGTTGTTCCCTCTCCGCGCCGCCCCAGCTGCCTTCGCCCATCCACATTCCACCCGTCCCGCCCGCCCGCCTACCCCGCGTTCCGTGCATGCAAGTTACCATCCGTCCCTTTCTCCACTTCTGCTGTTCGTCCTCATCCTTATCCTCCCGCTCATCCTCCTGGTCACCTGCCATATACTCTTCCTGTGCGCGCAGCTCCACATTTCCCGACTGCGCACAACACCAAGTGGTCTTTCTGTGGGAGTCGCAGGTCGACTATCACACGCGCCCGCGGGTACTGAAACATCAGCGCCATCGGAGTGGATGGGAGGGAAGGATGCTGTGGAGACCCGTCCCAAGAAACACCCTGTTTGCCTCCAGGGTGCCCTGGGTCTCTTGGTTTTCGATGGTCTTGCGATGGGAAGCGTGACGTTCCAACACCGAAATTAAATGGCGTGCTGGGGTCTCAGGGTTGGGTTCTTGTGGAAGGTTTCTTGCAGTCGGGCCTCCACTGTAGGATGTCGGCTGAGGCGCGAGCGCACCTGGCTCGTCTGCCTCCTCCCGCCTGCCGAGGTGACCGGGAGGCAGTGGTACTGGGTCTACGAGGCCCGGAGACTCCCGGAACCGTTCTGCGCGGCGGGGGCTATGATGTTCCAACCCATTTTAGCTTGAACCACCAGAAAGAATTTCGAGCACCAGCGAAAAGAACCGAAACTCGAGGGTTTTCACGTGCCGGGCCCTGGGAGACACTCTGTTCGATACTTTTTTGGGTGCTCGAAATTATTTCCGGGATGTGATCCTTAAGTACGATAGGAACAACATAAGGCGGGGGGCGGAGGAACGGAGCGCATTACCCAGACCCCTCGGGGCACGAAAAATAGAGAACCCCGCCACAGTAACGTCTCCACGGACGCCCTCTAATGGATTGTTCCTGGGCCTCAGGAGAGGGTTGCGGCATATCAATCACCACCGGGAACCAGCGATTTTCTACACCGCCACCCTCCCTGAAGGTACATGCAAAATCGGACGTTCATTAATGGGGGGCGATAGATGGGGGGTAAGAAAGGCGCACTTTTCGTGCACCTTTCGTACTCCTTTGGGGCCCTAGGGGGCTCGGTTAGGGCCCCTTTCGCGCAACCCTCGACGCCCCCCCATTTGTCGCCCCCCCATTACCGAACGCCCGACAAAATTCGTCGGCGAGCATCTGAGTATAGATTTCCGTGGTGTAAAAAGACGTCTCTCCATCGCCTTCGGCGTCTGGGGGCCTTTACCGGGCCTCGGGACCGTCGTCGTCGTCGTCGTCGTCGTCGTCGTCGTCGTCGTCGCCGCCGCCATCGAAGTCGTCATCGTGGCCGTCGTCGTCGTGGTCGTCGTCATCGTCGTCGGCGTCGTCGTCGTCGTCTGCGTCGTCGTCGGCGGCAGTCCTTGGGAAGGGGTTCAGACCTCTGGAGGTCCACGTTGCGGTGGGGGCATTTGTTGAGGAGTCTGCGCAGGAGGTTTCAGACCATGGAGGATTCCTTATCTGATGAGGGCGGCGGTGGCGTCCATGGCCGATCCGCGATTGGTGTTCCACCGGCTTCCATGCCCTCGATTCCTTATTCAAGGGCTCCTTGTCCAATGCCCCCACCGTATGACAGAAGCATGACGTCGGGGGTCTGGGTCTGGGTGTCGCAGGGATTTGGGAGTGAGGGTCCTCGCTGCGGCAATGATCAGAATCATACCCGTATCCACGGCGTCTTGGATGTTTTGGAAGGGATGCCCAAATCCCGACACGCAGTGGATATGTGTATAGTCTGGCATCTCTAGAGGCAGAATTTTGATGCATAACGCGCATCCACTGCGCCTCGGTCTTACAGGAAACTGCAGTCCGAAAAATCCAATATGGGCAGAAGTCTTGCCCGCACTCGTGGCTTTCTTGCCTCGGCGCTGGGTCCCGCTCCCCCGGGGCGGGCTCCGCGCGGATTTCCTGGATCCGCGCTGGACCCCCCTGGCGGCGCCTCCAGCGCCGCCCCTGGCGCGCACCGCGCGCCAGGGAGGGGGCCCAGCGCAGATTCACGAAGTCCGCGAGGACCGTCGAGAGTTTATGTATATGCTGTTTTTTGTTTTGTTTGTTGTTTTTTCTCTTCTAATGCATCTGTTCTGTCTCGAGTTGCCCTCAGGACGACCCGCTTGCGGAGGATGGGGCTCAGGAGGCCAGGAGAGGGACAGAAGAGAGGCACGGGGAGAGCGAGGGCGAGTGATCAGGCGATCGCAAACATGGATCAAGGGGTGCGTGAATTAGCGACGGGTCCCGTTTCCATGGGAAATCGAGGATTTCTGCCGCCGAAGGAGGCGGCGCCGGCCGCATTTTGGGGAGGGCACCTCCCCGGATCCATGGATTTGGCGACCGCGCGCCAAATCCATGGGTTGCTAATCCATGCTTGCGCGCCCCCGAGAGGAGAGTGAGCGGAAGGCGGCCTCTCGTCGTGGGCTCCGGGGCAAGAGGTCGGCCCGCTCCCCCCCGCCCTGGCCGAAGGGTCCCGGGGGGCGCATTCTGGCCGGGCTTCGAGGGGGATCTCCAGCCGTGGCGACATCCTCCTCGTCCTGAGTGTGCAAGTCGTGCTTGCGTTCTAGCCCCTGGTTTGGCATGTCAGGGGCTGGCACTTTCTTCGGGGGCTCGGGGCTGCGGAGCCCAAGGGTCTTCGTCTGGGCCCTGGTGGGGCTGGGCCGTGGTAAGAAATTCGCAGCAACTTCAGCGGTTACCTTTTTTGCGGCATGCCCTGCTCAGCTGCAAAATGGCTTCACGGAGTGCAAAAAGGACCTCCCCCCTTTACACGCTAGAGTTGATTATCCACGGCCAAGAATGGTTTGGTCAGGGGCGCGGGGCGCGGAGGCCGAACTTTCTATCACTGTGGAAAGTTCACCATCGAGGTTAACTTCCTTCTCATGTTGATATAGCAACATCACACGAAGCGAAGACGTTGTCGAGGATGTCTCAAGCGAAACCAACAGCGTTCTCTTTATCTCTCTCTCTCTCTCTTCTGTCTGCTCTTCTCTTTCTCTTTCCGTTTCCTCCCCCCTTGCCCCCCTGATTTTTTTTATTGTTGTGGTTTACTATCCACGAAAACCGAGGCACGTGAGCTACCCTACACGAGCAGATGAAAACCTAATTTCCATTGTTTGCTTACAAATTAAATGTAATAGGTTTGGAACTTTGGCGTTCCTCCTCCTCCTCCTCCTCCTCCTCCACCTCTCTCCTTCTGTCTGTCTATATTTCTCTACTTCTGGGATCTCGATCCTCGATCCTCGGACTTCTATTCTCGATCCTCGATCCTCGGCTTTCGGTCCTCCTAACATCATCTCTTTCTCCTCCCACATGCTGGCTTCCTGTAGGCAGCATTTATAATCCCCCCGCGACCCCGAACTTTATCATCCCTGTGGGATTAATCTCGCCAGCACGCGGTTATCTCATGGCTCTCTTGCTGACCGTGCATGCCACGAGGGCGGTGGTCTCGGATGGCAGACGCCTCATTATTCTCCTCCGCCTCCGCCTCCGCCTCCTCCTCCTCCTCCTCCGCCTTTTCGTGCCACCACGCCTCGGGAAGAGGGGGAGAGAGCGA